CATTGCAGTCAATATGAAATATTCCCTGATGCCTTTGAGCAGAGTGTCTCCAGGGATTTAGGAACTCAAAACCCTTGAGGCCACCCAGGTTATTCGGAGAGAAAAAAATAAGTGATGGTGATGATGGCCACCTGCAAAATAAGAAACACAGCAGAGCAAATTTAAATGAATTTGAGATACCACAGCATGTAGAGAGCCGTGTAAAAATGCTAACAAAAACAACAGCTGTGAAACAAAATGGTGCTCAGCTTCTGCTCTTCCACCGCTACATAATGCATGGCAAGTAAGACAAATGTCCGGGCATTTTTGCCACAAATTATGTATGGATTCTGCACTGTTTCTAAATGACAAATGATCCGTGGAGGGATCACCTGGTGGAGATGCTGCTAAATGCTGTGATGGAGCTGTGAAGGCAAGCAGGACGGGGCTGGATAATCCCCCCACCTCCTGCAAAGACATCACTGCAGTTTTCTTCAGTGTGTAACTTTAACTGCTTGACTTTGAATGTGGAGGTAACAACAGAAGTTCAAAATGGGTTTTGGCAAAAATGCGTTTTGTGATCCTGGCATACAGTACATACCCAACATCAACTACAGCAGTTTCATGTACTGAAATATGACTATACCAACCAGCCTGTAAAGAAGAATATCTGCAACTCCATCAATCTAAAAATAAAATAACTGAAATATATCATTGGGTTATAGACTATTCAGGACAGCTCTATTTGAAATTTACCTTGTGCGTTCACGCACAGTTAGTGGGAGTTTTGATGTCATTTTAAGGACCTGTATATGATTAAAGTTATGACATTACATTTCCTCAGAAGTGAGGTCTCATTATTTGATTGGATATTTTTCTGACATTAAATATATTGGACAATTAAGTATTATTATACTGGAAACACCATTGTGGTGCTATTTGTGTTGTCCTTATCCCTTCATCGCATGCTTTAATTTAACTATATATTGATCATTACTTGATCATTACTGACTGGCAGATTGTGGCCAGCTGGGTGCAGGGTAGTCTGTTTCCTCAGTTCAGCTATTCGTTCCTGGTTGGAAAATGGCCTTCCAAGTGTGTGGCTTTTGCCATGCAGCTATGGAGATGGCCATCACGAAAGCCCCCCTGCCTGGGGGTGGCACATTTTTTGGAGGATATTGAAAACCCATGCAGTACTGTTACTAAACTCCCTCTGGAAGAGCCCATTCATTGAGCCAGGAGGTGGAGAAATCTGCATGTGATGCGATAGCAGCTCTTCCTCCACCTGCCCAGTTGAGGGAAGACAGACACGTCTCTAAAGAGAGCAAGAAATGCCGACGGCCTGTCAGACAGATTGGGTAAAATCAAGGCTCAGCGTTCTGTCTGGCACAGTCCCAGAGCTACATGACCCAACTCCCATGATTGGCTGCCTTCATATCGAGATCAAGATCAATTTTATTTTCCCCTAAGGGAAATGTGTCTTGCGCATCAGTGCTGCACAAGGCTGAAATAACAATAAGTAACAAATATGGACTTCACAATCATACACATCATACAGCCTGTACCATACATTTACAGTTTATTACTCAAGCATCTGAGACACTACCTCTATCAGTAATTGATGACTAAATAAGTAAAACCTGAATGATACTAAAACCACTGAATGATTCTGTCCAATTGCACTTGAGCTCATAAAATAATGAACAATAGAACGAACAATAAAATAACTACAGCCGCAAATTCTAAAAATATAATAACTCATTTAAGATCAAGATTGTTATGGAATAGCAATCACAATCAATATTAAACTTTATTTCATAATACTAACAATAAAATGCTAGAAGTGCTTCAAGACAGCTTGTTTTGTTTATTAAGGAGAGCTATGGAAGTAGGGATGAAGGACAGATCCAATCTGGTTTCTGTAAAAAGCATTCCACAGAAACTGCATCACTTCAGTCAGCTGACTCTATGCAATACACAGTTTTGGTTCTCTTGGACCTTTCATCCGCTTTTGATACTGTTGATCATAATATTATGATAAATAGACTCCATGATCTGGTTGGGATGTCTGGAACAGTTATAAAATTGTTCTCATCCTACCTTTTTGGTAGGAAGTTTTAGTGTTTATGTAAATCAGATCATGTCTGAAACCTCAGGGTTGTTGTGTGGGGTACCTCAGTGTTCTGTCTTGGGACCCATCCTGTTCCTTTTGTATATATTTCCTCTTGGACAGATAATCACTCAATTCACTGACATATTTTACCATCTGTATGTTGATGACATTCAACTGTTCTGCTCGTTTAAGGAAACTGAGTTCCTTAAATTGTCTTCTTTAATTAAGTGCTTGACTAGTATCAAGCAGTGGTTATGTGACAACTTCCTGCTTCTGAACTCAGAGAATACAGAAACACTAATTATCGCCTCTGAAAGTAGAATCCCTCAGATTAAACAGCATATTGGTGACTTAGGCTCGTCTGTCCAGCCGAGCCTTAGGAACTTAGGTGTTGTTTTTGATTCAGCAATGTCCTTGGAGTACCACACTAAACAATTAGTCAGAAACTGTTTTTTCCAACTGAGGAATATTTCCAAATTAAGAACACTGGTGTCAAACGGTGAGTTGGAGATTATCATTCATGCTTTTATTTCAGCCTGGAGCTTAACCGTCTCCATGATACAGCTTCATACTCCAACCCGTAGTCTGAGGTCATCAGGTCAGAAGTTGTTAGTGGTTCCCCACACTTATTTTAAAACCAGGGGGTATTGATCATTTCAAGCATTGGCACCTAGCCTGTGGAATGCATTGCCTCCCTTTCTACATTGTCTTAATTCTGTCGATTCTTTTAAAAAGCAACTGAAGACGCTGCTATTCCAGCAGGCTTTTAGTTAGACAAGGGTTTTTAATGGGTTTTGTTCTGTTTTCCATATGTATTTAAATTTTTCTTATGCATTGCATTTTACTATGTTGTACAGTTTTACATTTTATTGTGAAGCACACAAACATGTTAAACACTTTAATAAAAATGCTGCCTTTCAAGATGTTGAACACCAAATAAATTTTGGAATCCATCTAGAGAGGGGAATAGTTCACTTCCCTCGATTTAGAAGATACATACTTCCATGTCTTCTGCCCAGACCACAGACTGCAGAGCACTTTTCAGGGGCAGGCCTATTAATTCAAGGTCCTCCCATTTGGCCTTTCTTGTCACCGAAAGTTTTTACCAAGGTGGTGGTGCTCTATCCCCCCTATAAATGTCCGGCTTGAAGATCCTTTTTTACTTAGATGACTAGCTGATCTGTGTCCCAAATCGCAGTCAGGTTGTGCAGGGTCATCAATCACATACAAACCTTCAAGGTGAATTATAAAAAAGAGCAGCAGACCGTAGACGATCCACCAGCCAGATCAACTGGACCAGGTAGCATGGTGGGTACGGTGATCGCACAGAGGAGAAGAAAGAGAGCTGGGATAGGAGCTATATTGGCCCAACTTGTACTTAATGACGCTACTAAAGGTTCGGTCTGGACAAAGTGGGACTGTTAGAGACTCCAGCAAGATGAGATGAGGCGGACTCTGTGTTTCCATCGATGATGCTTGGTGCTCAAACACAGTCAAGATGGACAGACTTTGTAGATGAAACAAGATGAAAACATTTTATCATCTTGTTGCTGCTTTTTACATTCTCTCCAGACACAATTTCAAAAAATGCACTGCAGAATGTTCAGGGTGTATGTAAATAACTATATACTATACTATATTATTTTTTATAGGTTGTCAGGTATGCAGGATAAGCGCTTGATGATGGATGGATGGATTAGTTCATTTGGGAGTGTAGATTCAACTTTCTTCCAGCCTACAGTACTCAACTTTAAAAGATCACTGCTCTGACATACAGAATGTGCAGCCACAGACTCCATTCAAGCTTCATGTGCTCTAAAGATGTTGATCTTTCAAAGTTTTAATTTGTGTGTCCCATGATTACCTGGAGTGAGTAGAGGCTTTGGGAAATCAGAAAAAAATGTCTAAATTGCTGTGTTGTGCAGATTCATCTCCATAAGCATAGGGATAAAAATGTAGCCACAAGACCTCTCTCTCTCAAACTGCCAACATCTTGCTTAATTGAGGTTTATTATTTAAGATTTAAAACTTAGCAAATATGAGCAGCCAAACAATCAGACTGGTTAAAAACAAACCCCGAGGTCAGTGCAAATCCGGTGGCAAAGAAATCTGAATGCTCATGTTTCTTGCTCTAACAAACTTAATTTTTTAGAAAGTGCTGAACAATGCTATAAAAAGAATACTCAATTTGTAATAAATATCCTTTAAGTCGTAATATACTATCCTTTAGAGTTCATGTTGAGGTATGGTAACACAGTTACTATTTTACCTGTGCAGTTTCATGTTCTGTGTGCAAAGTGGGCCTCTTTGCATGTTATCAGGTGTATGTAACTTTGGCCACATTGATGAAATGATGAACCGGGTCACTCTCTTTACTCAGGTGCTTCCTCTGTAAATGAGACAGAACTGTCTGATGAGGTATGGGAAGGAGGCAGATGCATTGGTTAATGGAACACAGGGATCTTTCAAAGACATTTCTGGATGTGAAAATAATGCCCCCTTTTAGTGCTCTCTATATTTCAGCATGATGTGACGGAATAAAAAAAGGGCGGTTTGCACTGGCTGAAAAGAACGATTTGCTTGCCAAATTAGCCCTTCATTTGAGAACTTGCCTTAGAGGCTGATGGAAAATGCCAGAAATGGTGTAAACAGACCTGTAGCACCTCAAAATACACCCTTTTGTCTGTATCTGTCTTTTCTGATCTTAAAGAGATTTCGTGCTGTGTCCTCACATGTTTCGATTGTCTTTTCAAATGTTTTGATATTTGCTTTCATATCAACAAGAGACATTTTTCTGTTGTATATTTTTTGAGAGGACTAATTACTATTAAGTATGTTGAACAAGATATTCTGTATGACCACTCACTATTTCTCACGCTGTCTCTGTTTTTCTCTGTCCTTCTGTCAGTGGCCATTATCTTGAAGGACGATTACTTTGTTCGGGGAGCAGGCCTACCAGGGAGGTTTAAGGCAGAAAAAGTGGAGTTTCATTGGGGTCCGAGCAACGGATCTGAAGGCTCTGAACACAGCATCAACAGCCGGCGTTACCCTGTGGAGGTAAGCACAATCTACTAAGCCTCAACATACCAAGGAAGAGCCGTCTGAGAGCTTGTAGTTTTCTTTGTTATGGTGTAGATATTGACACCTCATGAGAAAGCTTCTGAATGAAGCTCTGGTAGTCTTGTCGGTTATTGGAACCAGAAAATTAAAATGTGCCACAGGGGGATGAATCTGTGTAGAGATGTCATAGGATGAACCCCCATGGTTGAGTGTAAAAGGCTGAGATGCCTGTCTATCTGGGCAAATATACCTCAAATGTACCCATTTTTAGAGTTTAAGAACTTCTTCTGGACAATCTCCTTCAAAATTGTCAAGAAGCCATAGACATTACAAGAAGTTAAATTCTTAGTAAACTCTTGTTATTGTGGAAAAAATGGGATTGTATTTTAATAAAGATTTTTTTACTCAATACAGTCAATACATTGAGGGTTTTCACTAGAACCAACATCTAGTGGTCATAAGAGGAACAGCCTGGAACAAAATATGGTTTTGGTCTCTATAGCCAATTTCCCTCTTCATAAGAAACTGGGGTGGAAATTTTTATATAACTTCCGCGTTTCAAATATATTAAGGCTTAAAGTTGTAAGATCATTAAGGCCATTGTGTAAGATCAGGTGGGTGCTGTCACAGGTGGCAAGCCACTTTGTGGTTTCAGCAAACTCGCTTCATTCTACACGCCGGCGGGGGTAGCTAGCGAACCAGCTGGCCAGTCATGTTCACAGACCCCTATAGTCCCACAGTCATAGAGACCACTGCAGCCAGCGTAGCAGCCGGTTCCACCAACAATGGTAGAACACAACACAAATTGTAACATAAATCAAGAGACATCTGGCTCGTGATGTACAGAAACTTCTTGGCTTGTGAAACTTAGAAGCACTTTGGACAATATAAACAACAGAAGAGGGACTGTCGTTGCTTTATTATTATATATAGACATTACATTGTAAGTGTGTAATTGTGGTTACACATGTGCACTGTGCTGATGCTTATAAAGGCTCACACTTATCACTGAGCAGCATGTTTTCTGTCTGTAACAATCACCTACACATGAACACCCTGCATTCTGTATTTATACTGAGCCCGTTCTCAACCCAGAGCGACGCTTTATCAGGCTTTCTCAAAGTGTAGTTGGCCTATTTGTTGCCCTAAGATGAGAACGTGTTGTTATATTGTAGGCCTACTGTGTCCTGCTCAGAGGCACAGTATCATTAATAATCAGTGGCAGAATGCGTTTATATTATTTATTGATTATCCGGATGGTAATTATTGATGTTGTGATTGTGTATAAATTAGGCCTATTGAATAACCACGAATTTAATCAAGGTGTCTTTTAATTCATTAGGTTAAATGTTTCAGGGGAAACTGAAATAATGAACTCATTTCAAAGCCTGCACTCAATTTCAAGCTTTCTATTTATTTCATCTTCTGAAATCAAAAAGACGCAAAGCATTCTAAATATATACCAGTCAATCAATTACGTTGGTAGAGAACATTTTAAAGATACTTTCAGCGTTAACGTTCAGTGGATAGGTTCAAGAAAAAAACATTATTCATGTGGCATTACCCAAAAACAATTGAATGTGCTTCAGGCCCCACCTCTCACACTTTATTTCTGGCATTAAGAAATGTTCTTTTAGCATCCAGCTTAAAAGTAAATATGAGTGTGTATGGGTGTTTCTAAAAGTTTGTGTGTTGTTTATATGCAGCTGTCAGTCTCTTGAATGCTGAAATGTCAGCCATCTCTGGTTGGACGTCTCGTGGAGCTCTGCCTCTTTGCTGTGGCCGGCCAAACAGATGAATATGTATTGTTTGACATTTGGTGGATCAGCATGCTGACAGTGATATTGTAATCTTCTCCTTCTGTTCCAAACTCTTTTTGTCCTCCCAAATCTTTCCAAAAAGTTGCATAAAGCTGCCTTTGTGTCAGTGGTTGAGATAACCTAGTATGGAAATGATGCATTTGTCTGCACTACTAGTAATATTGCTGCCTGCTGGAGAAGAATTCAAAGATTCGGCTGAAAATACGAAGCCTGTATAAATGCAAGCTCTCCAGGGCTGCTGTTTTAAAATTGCTAGAGTTATTATATGCGGTCACATTTGATTTAGCAGTGAAACCTCAGCAAGGAAAAGTTTCCACTTGTAGCACATGTATGAAGTGCCAGTGAAAATCATGCCTGTTTTTTCATAATGGTTGACCCTCTCAGTCATAACGTATAGAATAGACTGTTTCTCCAGAGACACACTCACACACCGCCTTATGCCAGATTCAATATTGGCAGTATGGCTCAGCTGAGTTGAGTGCTTTAAGGCCAAAACCGATACTGATATTTCCACAGTTAAGCTGCTGAGAGACTCGATTTTGTGCTGATTTTTGGCCTCATTTGGTGATTTTATTTCCAAAAAACAAATATGGTTATGTTATGAAGCTTCACTGTGTGCAAACAGAATAACTGTAGAGTTTATCACTTATAATAAGGTCTGTTTAAAATAGATTATATCTAGAATATCTAGAATAGAAGTAACCTCATTGCACTTATAGAGCAGGGTTCTCATTTATGAACGGTGCTTACGTACACAACAGGGCTGGAAATGTGCGTATGCCACTTCCTAAGCAAAGGTTGTGATCTATAAAAAACAAACTTGAAGGGAGAATGCGCGGTCCTGTAAGTAAACTGAACCATGCGTACGCACATAGAGGAGAAATGAGAAATGGCAACTCACATGTTAGAAGGATGAAACGGTTTGAAATGAATAGGCCTACTATTGTGTAAAATAAATTGAAATATTAGTAGTATTATAGGTTTAAAGCCTTTCTAAATAAACATACACCCATTTGATTGACTTTCCCTGAAGTGCGCAAAAACCCCCACAATTTAAGATAATTTGCAGCACACAGAAAAATATCCAGATTTAGGATAACAAACACAAACGAGATATCTGTTTCTGCAAAAGAACGCCTCAGATATGCTGTACAGTTTAATCTGGAATCATATTAATTAATACTTGCATGCAGTGCAATTTATTCTCATAAATAAGGTGAACAGGAGGACAAATTACATTTAAATTGATGCCGTTTTCAATACGTCAGTCGAGCAAATATGAAAGCACAGTTTAATTTTGCCTATTGTTATCAGATGTTCATTGCCTTACAGAGCCAAACGCTGAGCGCTGCTTGTAAAAACACGTTATGGAAAAAATAACACTATCTTATTGTCATCTACAACAAGTCATATTTATTTCAACTCATTGTCAGCCTTGTTTAGTGAGTGGATTGTTTGTGTAGCCTAAATAAATGTTTAAACACAAGCGGAATGCGTTTGATTTCCTCTCTTTTCAAATGGGGGAATCCAAATTAGTACCTGGGTCATCCCGTCTTGCGTGTGTGTCCCCCTCCAGCCAGTGACGTCACTAATCAAGTGGGATGTCCCTTCCTGCAGATCGGTTATAAAAGAGTGGAGCTCTGGTGCCCCCTTTCCTCCGGTGCACAAGCCTTGCGTGAAAGTGCGTTTTTTTCTCATTTTCTTCATGCAGTCAGGACGTATTAATATTAATGAGGGGTGTTTCACTGACCATTTATAGGCAACTATGGACATTTGAAGGGTCGGACATGGAGCTCCATCACATGTGCTACATTTAAATTTGATTGTGATGTATAAAGGGAACTTGCTTACAAGTGTGCATACGCGCATTTAATAAGTCTGAATATTTTTTGGCGTACGCCATTTTTAGCTTTTGGGCGCATGTACACTTTTAGTGAGGTTTAATTACAGAGCCCCAACAATTCCCACCAATAGCAAGCACTTGGCGACAGAATTTTGATCAACTGGAGTGATTAGGCCAACACGGCATGAATGAATGCATGACGTCATGCCATGCCATGCCATGTGGCGATTGATGCGGTCCCTTTCAATCAGCTGGGCACCGGTGCATTGCACTGGTTGTACCGTTAGTACTTACTCCACTGATCGTTAACATGTACAAAGGGAAATCAATCTGATAAGTATGACTTGAACCAGCTTAGAGTGGTTCCTTTAATGCCAATGAAATGTTCAAGTCTCTGTAATAGGATGTGATGTCATTGATATTGAATGCAGCACTAAGATCTAACAAGACAAGTACAGAGACAAGTCCTTTGTCTGACGCAATTAGGGGAATGATTTGTAATTTTCACCAGTGCTGTGTCTGTGCTATGATGCACTCTCTATCCTAAAGAAATACTAGATGAATGCTCACTTGGGTTAGATGAATGTCCATCATCTGTTTTCTCTATAATTTATAGAAAATACTCTCCATTGTATTAAATTAATATATTTATTAACTCTTACACAGGTAATACGTAAATGCAGCAATATATGTCTAGATATAACAAAGCAGTGAAAGTCAAAATGTTGGTGGAGTGGATTTCTCAGAAAGTGTTGATTACGGTGATCTCTCTCTCTATATATATAGTCATAGATTTTCTTACAAACATCATCTGGACACTATTACTCTCCAAAACATTGTAACCCACCAGAATATTTGTTAACGGGGGGACATTACATTACATTTACATAAAAAATCAAATGTAAAGCAATTCCATGTGAGTTTTTACAGGTTGTTTTTGTGTGTCTGTGGTCGGAGGGAAAGCTCTCTACAATGTATGAATGACTGGAGTATCAGACTGTAAAGCTTTCTCAACTCTATGTCTCTTATGCTGGTTCACACAGCCACAACGTCAGCAGAGAGATAGGAGCATGGTTTGATTGCTGTCTAGTCCCTGTTTCAGCTTGATTGCCTGCCTGCTATATTGTGCAATGTTATCTCTGCAGTGACAGAATAAAAAAATATACAGAGACATATATGCATGCACACACACACAGGTGTGTACACACAGCAACAGTAGGCACAGTTAGCACATAATCTACAGGGGTTTCCATCTCATGTATAATCACAACAGAACATATTGTCCCATGTACAGCTGTATAATTCAGACATGCAAGTAGATTCAGCTTTATTTG